ACCAAACAGTGAAACTTTAAAAAAAAAGAATTGGTTTGGTCAACCTATTTCAAATGATAAAATTAAATTTGATAGTTATGAAAAAAAGTTAAAGATACCATTCGTAGTTTATGCTGATTTTGAAGCATTTTTAAAACCAATAGAATCATGTTCTAACGATCCTTCCAAACCTTTCACTCATAATATTCAGAAACATGAAGTACATAGTTTTGGATATTATATAAAATGTTCATATGATGATAAATTATCAAAATATGTAACATATTGCGGACCCAACTGTGCACAAGTGTTTATGGAAAGTTTATCTAACAATCTAAAAGAAATAAATAGACTTCAAAAATATCCACCACTTCCGCTAACAAATGAAGACAAAAACCAAATTTCAAATGCAACCATTTGTCATATTTGTGAAACTGAGTTGGCAAAACATTTTTATGATTTTGATTGGTACACTGGTAGTTTTATAGGTGTTGCTCATGAATCATGTTGTTCGAAGATCAGAACACCTAGTTATATACCAATATTTTTACACAACCTTAGTCACTATGATGCTCATTTTATTGTTCACGCGTTAAACTTTTGTGATGGTGAAGTCGAAGTTATCCCTCAAAATAAAGAAAAATATATATCCTTTTCCAAAAAATTAAAAGTGAATAACCACGAAATTATATTGAGATTCTTATATTCATTTAAGTTTTTATCGTGTAAATTAGAAGAATTGGCCAAAAATCTCAGTAATGATCAATTTCAAGAATTACGTAGAAATTACCCTAATGATGAAGATTTCTTTCGTTTAAAACGGAAAGGTGTTTATCCATATGAACTTATGACTAATTATGATAGTTTAAGTCTAACATCGCTCCCTGAACAAAAATGTTTTTATAGTTCACTCACAGATTCACATATTTCAAATGATGATTACAATCATGCTAAAGATGTTTGGGAACATTTTGGGTGTTGTAATATGCTAGATTATTCAAACCTATATTTAAAAACAGACGTTTTACTTTTATCCGTCCATTATTACACAGCACCCGGTTTAAGTTGGGATGCAATGTTAAAATATACAAAAATAGAATTAGAACTTTTAACAGATTATGAGAAAATTGCATTTATTAGATCAGGTATCAGAGGTGGTGTATCTCAATGTAGTAATCGTTATGCTAGAGCTAATAACAAATACATGGAGGATTATGATACAGGGAAACCAAATTCATATATCACATATTTTGATGCCAACAATTTATATGGTTGGGCTATGTCTCAATATCTTCCTACTGGTGGATTCGAATGGGTAAATCCAAATACAGAATTTAATGTGTCTAAGACATCAGACTTCGGTTTTATTTTAGAAGTTGATTTGGAATATCCAGATGAACTTCATGATTTACATTCGGACTTTCCTTTATGTCCAGAAAACATTTGTGTAGGCAATATTAATGAGAATAAACTAGTCCCAAATTTAAATAATAAAGATAAATATGTAATTCATTACAGAAATTTAAAGCAGTGCATAGAAATGGGGGTTAAATTAACTAAAATTCATAGAGTTTTAAAATTTAAACAGTCTCCCTGGTTGAAGATGTACATAGATCTAAACACAAAATTAAGAACTTTAGCAAAATCAGATTTCGAAAAAGATTTTTATAAATTAATGAATAATTCAGTCTTCGGTAAGACTATGGAGAATATTGAAAAAAGGGTTAACATAAAATTAGTTACGCACTGGGAGAACCAGGGTAAAGCTTTAGGTGCTCAAGATCTAATCGCTAAACCACAATTTCATAGCCTTTCAATATTTTCGGAAAACCTAGTTGCGGTTCAGTTGCGAAAAACGAAGTTAATATATAACAAACCAATTTATTTAGGGTTTTGCATTTTAGATATTTCAAAAACATTAATGTATGATTTTCATTATAACTATATGATTAAAAAGTTTAGTAAAATCAAATTATTGTATACAGATACGGATAGTTTAATATATCATATATTTACAAATGATTTTTACACTGATATAAAACCTGACCTTTCATCATACTTTGATACCTCAGATTATGATACAAATAATATTTTTGAATATCCAAAATTAAATAAAAAGAAATTAGGTTTTTTTAAAGATGAAAATAATGGTAAAATCATGAAAGAATTTGTGGGTTTACGATCCAAAATGTACGCTTTTAACTTAGAGAATAAGACTATAGCCAAGGCAAAAGGGGTAAATAAATGTATCACTAAAAAGATGACAATGAATAGTTATAAGTCTTCTCTATTTAATAAAAAAGTGCAATATTATAGTATGCTTAGATTTAAATCAATTAAACACACAATTTTCACACAAAAATTAAATAAGATAGGTTTATCATATAATGACACAAAGATACATATTTTAGATAATAATATTGAAACATTAGCTTGGGGTCATTATAAACTGCGTTAAGTGTTGATAGTTTTTACTTTTATGTCTGCGTTTAAGAAAAATTTATATTGATTGTAAAATTATGATAATACTATAATATGATGTAGTTTATTACATATTTAATCATTGTTTTATTGTAAATAATTTAAGTTAATTGTTGTTTCTATTTATTTGAGGTTGAGTTAATTGTAAAATTATGATGTACTAATTGTGTTAGAAATAGTATACAGATAATTCTGTTTTATATAATTTTTGGAATATATATTAATTGTTTACACCAACACTTTCATTTTTTATTTCACCCCTTTGAACTTTAGACGTGTGTTATGTTTCACTTTATCCATCCGTTCACTGCTATTGTGGCAGGACCAAGTGGGTGTGGGAAGTCAAATTTTGTAACAAATTTCATAAAATCAGTTACAGAAATATGTAATTGTGATTTTAATCAGATCACATGGTGCTTTGATGAAATGCAACCATTATATAATTTACCAAATGTTAACTATCATCAAGGAATTCCAAATCTTAATATGTTTGATGGTGAAAACCCACATCTTGTTATTATTGATGATCTAATGAGAGAGTCCGATGGAAGAATTGTGGATATATTTACAAAAGGTAGTCATCACAGGAATCTTAGTGTATTTTATCTAACACAAAATTTATTTCATCAGGGTAAAGGACAAAGAGACATATCTTTAAACTCAAGTTATATAATATATTTTAAAAACCCTCGAGATAAAACTCAAATAAGATATTTAGCAAGACAAGTATCACCAGATAACCCAAAATTCATTGAAAATGCCTACAGGGATGCAACTCTAGAGGCGCATGGATATTTAATGGTAGATTTAAAACAGAATACCAATGATTTTTGTCGTATCAAGACAAATGTCTTTCCATTTAATGGTTTCTGTACAGTCTACGTCCCCACAAAAGAGTTTAAATACACCAAGAATCAAACAATTGAAATCATTGCTAAATGATGCATCGTCGACTCACAACGTATAAACATTTGCTAACCGCTTTGCATACGCTTAAACCAAAATATCAAAGAGCATTACTTAAAACGTGTGATGAAGAAGAAATTAACTGTATTTGTGAGTGTATTCATAACGTTTTACAAGGAAAAGTACCTCTTAAAGATCAGGATAAACAAAAATTGAATAAACATAAAAACATACTCCGTAAACTAGTACGTAAGTGTAAACATAAACTAAGAAAAAATATAATTATACAAAAAGGAGGGGCTTTCTTACCAACAATATTAGGTGCAATATTGAGTGGATTAGTGAGTGGACTAGCCAGTTAACATGGAAAATGCAAAGAAAATGATACTTATCGAACCTGGATTGATTGAAAAATTAAAACAAGAAAATAAGGTTAATAGTAATTTATCTCGATTAGATATTGAAATGCAAAATATTATGAATAGTAAGACGGAAGACCGAAAGAAATGGATATTATATTTACAAACACTACAAAGATACCTTCATTTTACCGAAGAGGATCGTCAACCACTCAAATTACCAATTTATTCTGATACATCTAATGAAGATTCAAATGAGTCAAAAATTGGTTTTAAAAATAAAAATAGAGATCTAAAAACTTCAGTTGATATTGAATCTTTGCTGGAGGAGAATCGATCCATTAAAAGTAAAGAAAATGATGAAAATCCACTTTACACACCAGCTCAAATACTCAGTTTAATACCAAAAACTTATCATAAAAAAGGGCAGTTATTATTAAACTTAGTTGAAACAAGTAAAAGTAAAATACATTGGGATAACGAAGGTACAGTCATAATTGATAGTGAAAAAATTCCTGGAAGTAATATTGTTGATTTAATAAATGATTCACTAAGACCCCTAAAAAGAAGTGATCCGGTAGGGTGGGTTAGATTTGCTGAAGCATTAAAAGATATTAAAGTACCACTTACTTATATTGGAAATCCAAGGAGATGTGAGTTTATTAACCAACTTTAAGCAAAAGATCTGAACAAACCCTCTGAGATTGAAGTTCAAGAGTTTTCTACACCGTGCAGTAGAGATAAAAAGTCTACAACTAAAATACGTAAAGGACTTGAGTGGGAAAAATGGACTCCGTACTAGAAGAAATTAACAGGATTTATTATGATCCATCTAATCCCGCTGGTTTTGGTAGTATTGATAAATTATCAAAAGCCATGAAGGGTAATATGAATAAAAAGCAAGTAAAGGAATGGTTAAAATCACAAGAAACATACACATTACATAAACCCATTCGAAAAAAATTCCCGCGTAATAGGTACATTCTATCAAATATTAATGAACTGTGGCAAGCTGATTTAAGTGATATGCGAACTTATTCTCAATATAATGATGGTTTCAAGTATATACTTTGTATTATTGATGTATTTAGTAAATATGCTTTTGCAAGACCAATGAAAAAGAAAAACTCAGAAACAACTAAAGAATGTTTTGAAAGTATATTTACTGAAAGTAATTTAACACCTACTCACATACAATCCGATAAAGGTACAGAATTTGTTTCAAAAGATGTACAAAAATACTTTAAATCCAAAAAGATTAATTACTATACCACTAACAATCCTGACATTAAGGCCAGTATTGTTGAACGATTTCAAAGAACACTAAAAATGAAAATGTGGCGTTATTTCACTCATAATAATACTTATAGATATATAGATGTTTTACAAGATTTAATATACTCTTATAATCACAGCTTTCACTCTAGTATTAAGATGTGCCCATGTGATGTAAATTCCAACAATATTATGACAGTTTGGACTAATCTTTATGATAGACGGTCAAAAAAACTTTCTTTAGAAAATCCTAAACCAAATTTCAATGTGGGTGATTATGTTCGAATAACTAAATATAAACATGTATTCCAAAAAGGATATGAATCAAATTGGAGTGATGAAATATTTATTATATCTTCAATATAATATTAATATAATTTTCAATATAAATTTAATATTGAAGCTGGAGCTCAACGATCGGGACCAAGAGGCGCTGCTCACAGATCTGGAGATCGGGCATCTACCGGAAGAAAAGGGTGAAAATATCATTCACACAGTGTCCGTGCTTGCGGTTAGGCTAGGTGTGCCATTAGAGGAGCGAGACATAGTGTTTGCGGAGCGCATCGGAGCGGTGCAAGCGGTGGTGAGCGGCGGGTCGCCCGGTGGCGTTGCGCCGCGCGGCCGCCGCGTCGTGGTGCGGCTGGCGCGCCGCCAGCTGCGTGACGAGCTGCTGCGCGCTGCGCGTGTGCGTCGCTCCGTCACAACCTCTGAACTAGGCGCGGCCGCCCCGCCACACCGACTTTACGTTAACGAACGGCTAACCCGATACAACAGACAGCTCTTCCACAAAGTCCGTGAGGCGTGCCGTAGATTCTCGTGGCGTTACTCGTGGACAAAGAGAGGTCGCATATACGCCCGCCAAGGTGAAGGGAAGCCGGCCTGCTACATTCGTACGGAGGATGACTTTATTCGTATTTTTGGTTCCGATAAGGTTTGAAGTAATGTCTCATCATAATTTAGAAATAAAGTTAAATATATATTTTATACCAAATTATAATATTAGGAAGATAGTGTACTATATACTTCTTTATCTCAACTATGTGGGGAAACTTTATTTGAAACAATATATACAGCCATTATATTATAAATATTATTTTTACTCATTATATCATATTATATATATTAACTTTATAAAACATCCATTATTTTATGTATATTATTTATTTATTTGTAATTATGACTACGCCATACTACTGCACGGTAGAATGTATACATCATTAATATGTTTGTTACCGAACTTAACATCCGTATCTATTTATAACACATATGCTGATTATTTACTAGTTTTTATCATAAAGAATAATCTGCTCATATACTATTTGCAACGGGTAATTTAAAATACTTAAAAATCGGTTTGTTAAACGCAGGCTCCTTAGGTTCTAAGCATGAGGAATTTATAATAGCCATGAAAGAGCTTAAGCCGGACATTATGGCCATCAATGAGACATGGCTTAGAGCCGGGGAAGAGGGGAAAGCTCCCATACTGGATGAATATCGTTTGCGACATAATCCTAGGCCTCAGCAAATTAAAAAAGGAAGAGGCGGTGGAGTAGGCTTTTATGTACATAAAAATTTAGCATTTAAAATTTGTCCGCATCCTTCTACTCCTACTGTTGAACAGATGTGGATAAAAATGAATTTTTCAGGAGTCAACCTTATCGTTGGGACAGCATATAGACCCCCTTGGCTAGACGTTAATATTTTTTTAGATGCGATAGCTGAATCAGTCTCCACTTTAGGTAACGCCGATAAGGTTATCTTAGTTGGTGATTTTAACATTAATCTTTTGGAGAGTGGAAACAACAAGACCATATTACTAAACCAATTTTTAGAATGTCATAGCTTGAAACAAGTTGTTGATACTCCGACACATTTTACTAGCCACAGCGAAACATTAATAGATTTGATCTGTTCTGATGCTCGAGTACGAAATACCCTAGTCAAATACATACCCGATTTGGGAAGCCATGCCATTGTTACTGCTGAATTTAATATAAAAAAGGAAAAACCTATTCCTCGTTACTTTACATATAGACCACTAAATAATATTGTTACAGAATTATTTATCCGTGATTTAGAGAACATTAATTGGTCACTATGTACAAATTTTAATGACGTTAATGACATGGTTAATTATTTTTGTTCTGTTACAAACATTCTCTTCGATCTACATGCTCCACTTAAAACCACTCGTTTCAAGTCACCACCTCACCCTTGGATTACGGATACAGTACGGAAAATGATCAAAATTCGCGACGACTATCATGCTAAATACAAAAAAACAAAAAATAACACATTTAAAAATTGTTATAAAAACATGAAGCAGATAGTAACAGAAGCTATGACAAATGAAAAAAAAGCGTATTTTGAACAGTACATAAATAAAAATATTAAGGACTCCAAAACCCTGTGGAAAAATTTGAAAAATGTAGTATATTTCAAGAATAAGACTGAGGAACTTCCTCATCAGTTCAATGACCCAGATTTGATAAATAGACATTTCCTAAATATACCAGGGGATGACCCGGTACCAATTACTTATACTTCCTACTTTAAACACAATAGGCACAATTCTAGTAATCTTACTTTGTCTACAGTAGCAGAAGAATTAATATTAAATACTATTAAAGAACTTAAATCCAATGCCGTTGGTATAGACAATATCTCCCTACAGATGCTTTTAATGACTCTACCCCAATCATTAATGACAATTACCGCTATTATTAATAAATCGATCCAGAGTGCGGTTTTTCCAGATTTATGGAAACTCGCAATTGTCAAGCCTTTGCCAAAGAAGATGAATCCTCTTTCGATTAAAGATCTGCGACCTATTAGTATATTGCCCTGTATTTCTAAAATACTAGAAAAGGTAGTTTGCAAGCAGATGACAGAATACCTTGAAATCAATGGCGTACTGCCTGTTATGCAATCTGGATTTCGCAAGGGCCACAGCACTACTACAGCTTTGCTTGAGGTAATCGATAATCTACTTGCAGCTCAAGATAGAGGTATGTGCTCAATTCTGGTGCTCTTAGACTTCTCCCGAGCGTTTGATTCAATCGATCAGTCATTGCTCCTGGCAAAGTTGTCATTCTATGGCTTTGATGCTAATGCGGTCAAATGGTTTGGCAGTTATCTCACTGGAAGGCAACAACGTGTGGAAATCATTACAAGTGACGGTACTAGGATTCAATCAATCCCCCAGAATGTTACACGAGGTGTTCCACAGGGCTCGATACTTGGGCCTGTTCTTTTCACGCTATATTCTGCTGATATCGTAAAGAAAATTAAACACTGTCATTACCACCTATATGCTGATGACCTACAAATGTACCTTTCCTTTATACCATCGCCATCAGGTCTTCTTCAGGCTATTAATAAAATAAATAACGATTTAGACGCTATTTCTGATTGGTCAAAGTTAAATTCATTGGTTCTAAACCCTGACAAGTCAAAGTTTATGTTAATAGGATCAAAAAATATGATTGCTAAACTTGTAAATGTCCCAATAGATTTAAAAATTGGAAACAGTTCTATTGATCAAATCTCCGAGGCTAGAAGCCTTGGGCTTAAGCTTGATAACCATCTGCGTTTCGAAGCACATGTCAGAGAAAGTGTACGAAGCTGTTTTTATAGATTAAAAATCTTATATAAAATCAGACCATTCTTAACAGAGCAAATGAGGATAAGACTATGCGAATCTTTGATTTTGTCCAAATTAAATTACTGCGATGTGGTATTTGGACCTTGTCTATTAAGTAGGACTCAGAGGCTCATACAGCGTGTGCAGAATGCATGTGCGAGGTTCTGCTTCCACATACCACCTCGTACGCATGTTACTCCTTTTCTAAATAATGCAGGTCTATTAAAAATGTCATCGCGTCGAAAATTACACCTTGCTACCCTATTATTTGGAATAATTGCATTAAAAACTCCTCGGTACTTATATGACAAATTAGTGTGGGTTAGCGAACAATCAAAATATCCTAAACGTAAATGTACTAAGGTCTTTGTTATTCCGAAACATAGAACAATGGCATTTAGAGGGTCCTTCAGGTATGCAGCTTCTCGTTGCTGGAACGATCTGCCGCCACCAATACGTGCTCTAAAAACTATAGGAATATTTAAAAAAAAACTGATATTAATTTTAAAACAAGACTGTAATCACAAATAATAAATAAAAATTTACTTTTTTTACGTATACAATTTAAAGGGCCTCCATTTAATACTAAAAAGATATGATGACTGTAAGATTCACTGTATTTATTTATTTTTTATCTCCACACTAATTTTCAGATCACTTTCTGTTTTCGTTTCTTTTCGTTTCTTTTCGTTGATGGTGTTGTTAAATCTTCTTAGTGTTCAATTAAATTCAAATGTTTATTTTATTAAGATTAGACGATATATTTCATGTTGTTGAGTTGTTGAGCACTTGATCATGTATGTGTACATGTGTGTATGGATGTATAGATATATATGGGTTCATATGTAATTGTATGTTTATGATTGCTTAAACAATGTATTATTATTTCCAAATAATAACTCTTATTATGCTGATTCTGTCCCCACACTGAATATTTTGATCTAATTTTAATTAGTTTTAGCTTTAGGTAATGTATGACCGTCCGTGAAGCCAATATTAGGCTCTATTTGAAAACCAGCGCTGCTGTCATCTAGTTCAGCAGCTGTTAGCTGAAATAGGGACCTAATTTGACTTTACAAAAACCCTGTTTTTTATATCTCGTGTTATTTTATTTTTTTTTTTCTTTGTGATGTCAAATAAAGTTTTCTTTTCTTTTCTTTTCTTTTCAATAATTGATAGATCTCCATGGGTTGTTTATACAATAACAGATTTACAAAATGAACCAATAATTGGTACTTTTTATGAAAGAGAATTACAGAAAATCACTTACAACCCCACCTCACAACATAAAATAGATAAAATAATTGACACTCGTTATTCAGGTAACAGAAAAGAAGTATTAGTGAAGTGGAAAGGTTATCCAGATAAATTTAACAGTTGGATTTTAGCTTCTAGTTTAAAAGAAATATGAATAAAGAAAGTTTCTATTTAACTTTGCTCAGCAATAGTTCAATGGAATACTTTCCTGATAACAAGACCACAAATTTTTCAACGAAATTACCAAAAGCTATAAAATTAGAAGGTGAATGGTCGGTTGGAGTTGTCGAGTTTCAATATCCATGTACCATGTTTACTGTTCAAGACCATGAAAATGTTATATACATTACAAAATCTATGTTAATGCCTAATGAAGATAAGCCATCCACAGTGTACTACAAAAAACATATTCCAGCTACCAACTATGATAACGTTGAGCATATTTTAAGAGTGTTAAATGGTATCGGAGAGAACTTGAAATTTCGCTATGATGAAATAACAAAATTTGTGTCTATTTCGGTATTGGATAAAAATATAACATCCGTAACATTATCACCCAAATTAAGTTTACAGCTAGGTTATGAACCAAATAAAAATCTCCTAGAGAGAAATTTTGGAAAGTGTCCTGCTAATTTACACTTAGGGTTACCATCTCAACTATTTCTATATTGCGACATTATCGATCCTCAGATTGTGGGTGATGTTATGACTCCTTTATTAAGAGTCATTTCATTAGATCCTACAAAATACATTTATGGTGCAAATAAAATGCACGTTTTCTCTCAACCTCACTACTTACCTGTTATGCGAAGAGAGTTCGATACGTTGGAAATAGTTATAAGATCGAGTACAGGACAAAAAATACCATTCCAGTTTGGAACCGTGTGTATTAAACTACATTTCCGAAAATTATAATAATGAATTCTCTTCGTGATCATCATAAATGTCCATATGAAAATTATTATACACATCAAGCTGGATCAGGAGTTGGAGTAATTTATAAGGGTTCACCATATCAACGCGGTCATGGTATTGGGAGCTTCTTAGGGGGGTTATTCAGATCAGTTTTACCTTTACTTTCAAGTGGTGCTCGAGTGATTGGTAAGGAGGCATTAAGCGCTGGAGTAGGACTTTTATCGGATATGGTTCAAGCCCGTCCTATGGAAGCCTCAATAAAAGATCGTCTAAAGCAAGTTAGTACGAATTTAAAACGAAAGGCTGATGAGAAAATTGATCAATTTAACATGACTGGATCTGGGTATAAAACTAAAAGAAAACGATTGACATCGTTCATTCCACCATTAACTGCTAAAGTGAAAGCTGCGAAAAAACTTAGTCTAAAACCAAAAAATATCAAAGATATATTTTCAAACTAAATATGTCTTTCCTTCATAATCATTCTTGCGAGTGCGTTAAGTCAGAATTGGATTTGTTTGCACTACCGTCTACACAAACTAGCATTGAAAATGGATTGTGGATTCATTATAAACCAATTTCATCTCTTGGTGATGATGGACCTATCGAGTTTCAAGTTCCTGGGACCGGCGATGACTACATAGATTTGTCTCATACATTACTCCACATAAAGGCAAAAGTATTAAATCAAGATTCAACTAACTTGGTATCTACTACAATAGTAGCACCTGTAAATAATTGGCTGCATTCACTTTTTAGTCAACTTGATGTTTATTTAAACCAAAAACTTGTATCACCACCTAATAATACCTATGCATATCGAGCATACATGGAAACCCTTTTAAACTATGCCCCTGCTGCTAAACAATCTCATCTTACTTGTAGTCTTTGGTATGAGGATACAGCAGGAAAAATGGATTCTACAGATGGTAAAAACATAGGATTTGTTAAAAGACAGGAATTGATTAGTGAAAGTAAGGAAATAGAAATGATTGGTCATCTTCACGGTGACATTTTTAACCAAGATAAATTTTTAATTAATGGTGTTGAAATGAGTGTTAAATTGGTTCGATCAAGAGAGAGTTTTAATTTAATTGTTGGGTCAAACGATGTAAAGTTTAAAGTTTGCATTACGGATGCAACTCTTATTGTTCGACGAGCACGAATTAATCCAAGTGTATTACTCGCACATCAAAAAGTTTTAGCTTCTACCACTGCTAAATATCCTATTACTCGAGCTGAAGTAAAAGTTTTAACAATTCCTTCGGGTGTTCAAGGAAAAACTCTTGATAATATATTTTTAGGACAGGTACCGAAAAGATGTATAATTGGATTTGTGAACAATTCTGCATTTAATGGTTCCCTTACTAAAAATCCATTTAACTTTGAAAACTATGGTATTAATTCTTTCAGCTTATATATTGATGGTCAACAAATACCTTCAAAAGCTTTGCAACCATCTTTTAATAATAGCATATTTACATCAGCATATCATACTCTATTCTCGGGAACTGGTATTCACTTTCTTAATGAAGGAAATGGAATCTCTTGTGAACAGTATGGCAAAGGTTACTGTCTATTAGCATTTGACTTAACTCCTGATTTATCAGCTAACTCATCAACTCATTGGAATCTCATAAAGCATGGTAGTGTAAGAATAGAAGTACGATTTGAATCCTCATTAATACAAACAATTAACTGTATAGTTTATGCTGAGTTTGATAATATTATTGAGATAGATAAAAACAGAAATGTTACTGTAGACTATAGTAGTTAAGGTTATAATATGTGTTGTGTGTTAGATTTTATGTGTTATGTGTAATGCATTTTGTGTGTATGTAACTATGTGAAACGTTATAAAATTAAATAAAACAAATTGTATGCAATATATTTTTTTTTTATTTCTTTATAAATCTTCTATTTAATCTAATACAAAACACTGTTCGAGTTGAAATTTTACATAAGCACACTGACTAAACCACTGAACATGCTGCTGCCAAGGATCATCATCATCTTCCCAATCTTTTAAACCACCACCACAATGGAAACACTTGGTCCCGTCTGCATGGCCAGTATAAAAGAAACCAGCTTCTGCAAGATCTTCAGGTTTCTGTCGCATAACTAGAGGCCAGTTTTCGAAACTAAGCAAACGGCTAGATTTTGAACTGAAGAATGGATATTCAGCTCTTGAGTACTGCATACTCTTCTCGTTTTCTTCTCCACTCAGTGTTGTAGTTTTGTTATTCAATGATGTGTTTTGTACACGTATGCCACACTCATCTCTTCCTTCCGCTCTTGTCTTCCTGTAATTGAAGTAAACAGAATCACATTCACTAATGATCAGCTTGTTACGGCCTACGGTTGCTCCCTTAAAGGATCCAATCCCCCGGGGCCCATCAGCAGAAGACTTCCCGAGCAAACGTAGGTCGGGCCTCCTAAGGCCACGTGGAATCTCTCTAATTACACTAAAATATATGGGGGAGCGTTATACTACGGCCAGTCGACCGGAAGGAATTTGGCGGAGTTCACTTACCTCGATCCAAGACGACTGGTCCCTCCGGAGTCGGTCAGGTCGCATGTAGTTGTGTAGTGCAAGGGAAAGAATGGTGATGTGGTGTGTATCTGGGTGTGACTGATGGTGATTAAACCTGGACCTTAGCCGTCGGCAGCAGCCCGAGCGTCGACACCGCTCCAATTTGAGGGGGCCTTTCGAGGTTATCCACAGTCACTTTCTTGGTTCACCACGATGACAGTCACTTAACTCTATCGTACGATTAACTAGCTTACAGAAGCCACTAACTATCGCGGGGTATAAGGTTACCGCACAAAACACGCCCGGAGTTTCTAGGTCAAAGGTCACTACCGTTTCGCGTGGCAACAGTTCTAAATACCGAGGCCGCACTAGCTTATATTGTCGAATGCACTTATACAGATTCTGAGTCGGACCCAATAAGTCCCGGGAAAGGCTATCCAAACAGGGAATGCGCGTTATAATTCCTAGACAGGATATTTACTAGACGCCCTAACTATTCCGCGGTTCCCGCACAAAATTAACAGCGTGCAAACATTAGCACATCTGGCAGATGACTGATCCGCTTGCGACCCGCGCGCCACTGCCAGGATCGGAAGAACTTCAGACCGGAATCGCGCCGAGCCGAGTGACATCTGGTGTCGATTCCGACAACAGAGTTTTGCGCGAACAAACCCCCGTCCCGGACATAAGGATTTAGGTCCGCGAGCAAACCGGTCAGCGGGACAAGGTCGAGACTGCAAGTTGCAAGACCGAATCTACAACCAAACTAGGCCACCTTAGGCAATCCATTAGGTCTTGCAACCCTAATCAACGCCTCAAAGATATCCCTAATGTGGCAAGCCGGAGGGTCAGCCTCCACTGGATGCCCCTCCTGGGCATCGCAGCACTTTAATAAGTCCTGTACTGGACAGAAGTCCGACGACCTCTTTCAAACACCTATCTGTGCCCCTATGATTAGTTCCGCAATCCGACCGGATCAGCTCTGCAAACAGTGACGCGACACGAAGCGGCCTCGAGCGGCCTCCTAAGCTTCAGTGCAGAGAGCACCCACAAATTCCACATGAACGTCGTCTGTGGAGAGCCGAACGAAACGCACAGATAGTCCCTAGTATGAATTTTCAACAAGTAGGCCTAGCCAGGCCACCCACCATATTATCATTTACTAAAATAGTGCGGCAGCTGATTTCAATCTGATAATCTCCAAACTAGCTAGCCTGTTAGACAAGTAGTCCTATGCTCATATTTCAACTAATTTTTCAAAAGCATCAATGTTCAACTACAGAATTAATTCAACCAAATTAATCACCGATGCGCATAGGTCAACTTGCAAATTAAACAAAACAATAACGTAAGGGACAGCCCTACTTCTTAGAAAACAAAAATGATTAAACACTATCATAAACATAAACATAATTTTTCAAATAGTGCGCCATTCCATTTCAGATGAATTCAAATTTTCCTTTCAGCAAACAAACGCAACAATCAAATACAGTGATTAAATATATGTACAAAACACATGCAGTAGCATTTAAAGGAGTAGATTAAATTCAATTCTTTTAATTTAAACCGCTACAAATAGGAGAATTTCGCGGAAAGCCCAAAGCAATTTTTAATTTTAATTCAAGTATTTTTTGACTAAGTGCTCGACCAAACCAAATCTAATACCCCTTGACAACGTGATTCAACGCTCCAGAGGGGGCCCTAATCTTCCCACCACTAAGGGGAGGCCACATGGCGTGAACCCGAGATAAATAGAGCACAACCTTTAACAGTTGCCACTCGGGTTGTACGCCTTCACTGAGGCCGTCGGCAACAGAACATTTTGACAAGTGGACTGTTGACGGCTTAAGGCTCAGTGGAGGCGGCCGTGGTGGGAACTAGGCAGCAGCTAGACAGGGCCGCCTCCATCAAATGGGGAACAGTGGTACACCAGTCGCGGCCACTCAGCTAACGGAAGTGAGAAGGGTCCAGCGGACCGATGAGTGGCCGTGAAGTTCCTCTCCACACGCTGAGGGGGGGTGATGACACCCCCGCCCCTGGGGGAATTACCCCCCAACTGCTTGGGGGAGGGGCCCCTTTCAAACTTAGGGGCCTGGTGGCTGGCCGGCGAGCGCCGATTGTCGCCCAGCAGAGGGCGTGGCTGAGCGCCCCCGCCCGTGGGGGTCGAGGGCCTGGCAGAGCCCCGAGAGGAGACGCCGTTCGCACCCAGGCACAAAACGGCATGGTGATTGCCCTGGCAATGCAGACAGGGCCGTCGATGCGGACAGTCTCGCTGGAGGTGCCCTCCCAGACATGACCAGCACCAGCGGCGCTCCTTGGCGATAGTTCGCCTCGCAGGAACCGGCTTACCTAATAATTTCGGGCACAACGTTACCCGGCGATCAGATGCTCGACAATAGGAGCAGGGGGAGGTTGACGACGACTTGCCTGGCGGGTTCAGCCTCTCACTGGGCACGTCTCGTAAGTCGTCAACGGTGCCCGCCGCGTTCTCGATCTGCCGGCACTGCTCCTCTAAAAACCGCAGCAGATCATAGAAGGGCGGAATATAGGAGGCCTCGTCCCCGCCGTACCTCTCCTCAAAATGGATTCGAAGGTCGAGAGGTAGACGGGACAGCACTATGCGGAACAACAAAAAGGCCCATTCGCCCACTGGTAAACCCAGCCGCCTCAACGTATTACAGGCCACCAAGACTGGATCCAACAGGTCCGGACGCAGTCTGGCCCGGTCACTAAGCAGCGGGAGGCTTAGAAGCTGCTTAACATGCTCGTCTGCAATTCGCCGGACGTTGGCGTATCTTCTGGCTAGGAGGTCCCGAGCAGTCTGGTAGGCGTCGTCCGACAATTTCAAGTGGCCGACGACGCCCAGGGCCTCCCCCTCCAGTGAGGCCAGGAGGTACGCCATCTTTTGTCTCGGGGTCAAGTCACTCCGGGCGTCCACTAGGCTGTCGAAAAGACCAACGAAGGTCAGCCATTCGGAAAGGACCCCGGAGAACTTTGGCAGGTCCAGAGTTGGGAGTCGTCCCAACAGCTCCGGCTGAAGCTGCTTCAGAGAGGACTCGGGCAGGTTACTCATCCGAGCTTCACGCGCCTCCTCGGCATACCTGCCTTCAGCCTCGATCAACTCGTCCGTGAGCCACAAGAACTGCTCATAGTCCGCAAAGCAAGAGTCCAGGACTCCCTTCTCCACATCCGAATCCTCGAGCTCAGCGTAAGCTTCCTCCACTGCGGCCCTTCGAGCATCCACCTGCTCGAACCGCTTCATCAAGTTATGGACCCTATCCGGTCGACCTATCAAAGCATGGGCGCTTGTGGCCCAGCGTAGCTCAGTCCGCAAACAACGGATCAGTAGCTTGGGCGATGTCATCACTATTAAATACAAATTACGACGCGGCTCGAGCACAAATTACAAAGATAACAAATAAAAAATATACCAAAAAATTAACAGTTAATAAATGCAGTTCCTATCAAATAGCGTTGAATAGAAATTACACAAATACGAATTACTACGTATCAACCAAATACAAGTTAGCACCAAAGAAAAGACACAAATCAAATTAACAATAACAAATACTAGTGCGACCAAATCAAGTTAAATTCAAATGGCGTAAAAATCCAAATTACTACTCTTTAGTTCAAATACAAATTACAGTATAAACGAAGATACACATCACGGTCGATCAACAAAAATGCCTAGCTCGGAAATCGACCCTTCGATAAGTAATCCACTACAACTCTCCGACAACGATAATTAACCGATTACGTAAAAATAACCATCTACCTACATGACGTATATCTCTAGAAAAACTCCCGCTTGCCCAACCTAGGGCGCGGCTTTTCAAATTACCCTCTAACCACAAAAAAGGCAAGCAACAAAGCAACAAAGGAAAATAATTCTATTATTACGTACAAAAAAAAATATTTTTACGTATTACGGACGGGCGTGATTGTAGATGCAAATTAAACCAATCACACCGACGCTCCCTGCCACCAAAATTGTTTAATGTTTATCAAACACTATAGTCGGGATCGACCGGGAATCGAACCCGGAACCACGCTCTGCTACCAAATGTTACGGCCTACGGTTGCTCCCTTAAAGGATCCAATCCCCCGGGGCCCATCAGCAGAAGACTTCCCGAGCAAACGTAGGTCGGGCCTCCTAAGGCCACGTGGAATCTCTCTAATTACACTAAAATATATGGGGGAGCGTTATACTACGGCCAGTCGACCGGAAGGAATTTGGCGGAGTTCACTTACCTCGATCCAAGACGACTGGTCCCTCCGGAGTCGGTCAGGTCGCATGTAGTTGTGTAGTGCAAGGGAAAGAATGGTGATGTGGTGTGTATCTGGGTGT